TTTGGTCCTACCCATGGCTGTGGACTTTGCTCACACTGCTGCACCCAGCCAAGTCAAAACCCTGCAGCCTACACCAACGATACAGACGGTACTTTGCATGATTTACTGATTTTACTGGTTGTTGAAGTCTCAGACCCCTGGAAACCTTACTGACACTCCCTTCCGGCTTCCAAGAGTTCAACAGGCACGTTCCTTCCAAGTATCTCTTGGCAACCGTAAAGGTTTTCATAAAGCAAGATGAGATTCTTGGGTAGATGAATTCAGTACCCCTAATACCCACTGAGCACTTTCCCAGTGTTCCTGGCAAATGGCACACGCCCATAGGCTTGCTCTTCCAGAAATCGTGGGGAGTCAAATTCAACGCTCTAATCAGAAACCAACTTTAAAGGTCACCCCCTTCGGAAAGCTGAAGACTGGCTTGTGCCACTAACTGTGGGGAGCTGCGGCAACAGTTCTCGCAAATCGAGCTATCATTGCGCACTCCGTTCCCCTGCATGACCAGCTCCCCTCGGATCAGGGCCACTCGCCCCTGTGAGAAGAAGTTGGGTTTCTCTGCAAGCACGGATGCAAACCCAACAGGGGGCTGAGCATCATTGTAGAGGAACACGGATGACCCAGTCTTGCTGGCCAGATTTCACATATGCACTAGTGGCTCCCTTTGCAAATGTCTCATGGACATTCCATGTGCACAATCAAGGCCGCACACATTGCGGAGGCCACAAACACAGAGCTCCTGTGTGAAGTGAGATCCTCCAGCAGCCACTGTACGTGTAGGAGGGAGTAAAGATGACCCAGCCTTTTGAATTCAGAAGACACCACCATCCGCTTTGCATTATCGTTTATACATCCCTGGTAAACTCTGGGTTGGATCCAACAGATCTTTTCTGCTAACACAGGAGTTTCCCTCCGGTAAAGATACAAGGCACTGGATCCAACCCTCTATTAAAAAAATAAACAGGATGTACTTTGCTTATACATACTGTAGTTAGATGAACTTACCAGGTATATGTTTTACAGGTCGGAAAATGGAGGACTTAAAAAAAAAAAACACAACAGACTTTGCAATAATGTTTGACTGCTACACATAAAAAGTGATGAACGCCTTGTGTGCTAGTAAATAAAACCACTTTAAACAGCACAGCAAAGAGACGTTTCCACTGTGACCGTCCTGAATTCAATGTCCCGGCAGACGGAGATGGGCTAAAGACCATCCATGGTGGAAAACCCATGTGGCCCCTTCCCCCACAAAGTGCCCTCCGGCCAATCAAACAAGGGTGTATCCAAATAGGAATACTCATAGGAGCCTGCAAGACTTCAGGGCTTTTAAAAGGCTGGGTTTTCAAAATGTGAGAATCCTTAAAAAATGAATTCATTCCTCCTTTACCTGCTAAAAATGTTTGTTAGCAATACTAATCCAAGTTCCCTCATTTTTCAATGAAAAATTATTTCGGCCTTTTGAGTTTCTTTTCTAGTGAGCATTGATTTTAAGAACAAAAGCACAATTCTGACGTTGATGCAGCTCAGTCTTGGCTTTGGCAAACAAGGGAGCACCAGAGTAAAAAACCCAGAGATGGGGAAGCCACTGACTTAGGTGCGCTTTATTCCCCCTCACCAAAGGCAAACTCAGAGGTGTCCAAGAAACAAGCTGAGGTCTGCTGATGCATCTGTAGCCCGCCTCTTCAGGCCCTATCAGAAGGGTGTGGGGACTCTTCACAGTGTGACATTCTTTAGGCATGTGCGATTGCGTCCACCACACCAAGGACCATTGTCAGGAACCTGAAACTGGCAAAGGCCATGCCCGTGTCCAATAGCCACAACAGACTGGTATGTTACTAATGGCAGGTTTAAAAAAAATAAGCGGCTCTGCACCAACCGAATGCGATGCTATTCTGATATTGCATTTTGAAAGGTGCTGTGCTAAGCACAAGACCTGTTCAGTCCTAGGAAGAATTCTCCACCCAGCAGGAGTTTTGGATTCTTGAGACAAAGGCCATAACTATTTTGGCTGAACCATATCAAATTGAATAGGACATTTCTCTGGCTATCTGCTCTGTCCCCAGGAAAATGGGGCAGGCGACCAAAAATATACCATGCTTAAGTAAATATAGCATAACCTTTTGTTACTTTGGCCTTCCATCCTGAAGCTCTTACTCTTTTCTCCTTGGAATGTAACAAGTGAGAATTTCTACTGAAGTAATTACTACAGAGCTTATTTCCAAGTTAACTCTTTAATAGATGCAAAAGCTCTCTTTCCCGCTACAACAGCTCCTCAAGAGAAAGGTGGCAGGTCTGTAACTCTAAAGGAGATTTTAATCTTCTGTTAAAGACCCACATTTAGGCATCTGGGATTTCTGAAGGACCTTGGAGCAGTCAGGACGTTCACACACATTTTTCAGGGTCTGACCAGGACAGAACCAGCAGAACCACAGTACTACAAGACAAAAGCCACTTGGGCAAATGGATCTCCTCGCACAGCACCTTTTACTCGGCACAAAAACATTGGTTACACAACACTGGCAGTTTAAAAAGATCAGGGCCACAGTCTCAGGTTCTGGGAGCTTAGGACTCAGGATGAAATCTAGAAACGGTCATCAGTTTCACCTTGCACGCTGGAAAGTAGGAGGCAGCCATAAAGTCCAGAGGGTTCTCCCATTTTGAGAAATGAACTCCCCGCACCGATGAAGAACAGCTGGGTTCCAATTAACATCTGCATGAAGCTGGTGAGGAATGTTGACCTGCAATTCTACTGGAGCTGGCACATCCTTCCCCCGCCCCCAGCTGTGCTTTAAACAAAAACTCTTCGACTAACGTTCCTCTGACAGCCACACCTTCCCAACTTCAACATTTATTTCAAGGAGGAGCCCAGGAGCTTTGGTCTCCAAAGCTTTAAAAGACGCACCAATGAATGCCACCACACCAAGCGACCATGAGCGACATCAGCAAAAGGAGTAAGGACTTGTGTCATCCTGTTTTCTCTATGCTGATGAGTATCCTCTCGGGCTAAGCTAGAATCCAGGCGAGGGTTGGACGCCTACGTGATTCTCCTTGGCAGGAAACATTTTTTTGGGAGAGTTCTTTGGGTTTTGTTTCTATGTTTGCTGTATAAACAGACAAGGGTGTGGGGTAGTTGGTTTTTTTCTGCCTCATTTCCAAGTAGATGCCAGCATGTTCCGTAAAATAAACACAAGGGCAGGCTATTTTTACTCTCAAGGAACAACGAAGAAAAATCTTGGCAGAGAGCTGTAATTTACACAGCCGGCCTCTGGCAGTTGACCCTCAGACCAGAAGTTTTGCAAGGCTCTATCTTTACAACAGACTTTGCAATCTCTCTTCGTTACACATCTGGTTTATAAACCTCAAGGGTGGATTGACTTTCAACTACACCCCCTCCCATATTTAACCCCCCCCAACTACTGAATTAATTTAAACAAAAAAATAACCCTTTTGGCTTCTCTTGGAAATGTTTAGTTTTTATTAGTAGACCTTTGCGGTTATACCAGGTGATTCTAGAGAATAGGCTTCTTTTCATACAAACAAAAGGGGGCGGGGGGGGGACTTAGCAAAGGATTTAACTAGCAGCCTTCTAGAATAAGACGAACACAAGCCGCCACGAGTGTTTAGAAACTGTTCTGCGCTGAGGGGGGAAAGGTCCTGGCATGCCGGCTCAGCAGACTCTGTGAAAAAACAGCATGTGACAGCAGGATAAATTGCCAAAAGAGGGGAGGGGGGGTGAAAACAGAAGGGCCTAAAGCAAGCTTACTTTACTGGCCAGCTTTTTGTGTCCTGACTACCCTCTGCAGAAGTGATCCTTCCCTCTGAGAATGCTATCCTGGAGAAGGACCGGAAGCAGACTCTGGGCTCAGCCTATCTGTCCCCTACTGCTCATTCCAGTGAGAAGTGGGCAAACAGACATTCCTGTTGAAACTCCCAAAGGTGTCACCCGTTCACTTCTCCCTGTGATGAACTGGGGGGGGGACACAGAGAGGGGGGACGAGGGGCAAGGGGAATAGACGGGAGGAGGGGGTGAAGGGGTGTCTACGGCCAAAGCCCATTCCTGTTCTCCCTTTTGGGAGAGAACCCACATCCCGAGCAAGCCCTTAACAACCCCAGTGCATCGGGTCGATTTACCTATCCCTAAAAACCTCTTCCAAAGCTCCTCTTGCAACTTAAAGGAACAAGGCATTTATACTTTGCACCCTGCTTGAAAGCTCCCTTACTGAGCCGTTCATTAACAAGAGGTTAGTGTTACATTAGGCAGCGGGAAGCAGAGCTGCTGCTGCGTGAATGCTCAGAAAAGGGAGGCGCTCCTAAGACTAGACAGACACTGCTAGCAACGGAGAAGGAAAGGAGAATTCAGTGAAAGTGCAAAAAAAGAGAGGAAATCCCAGATCGGAGAACTTGATCACTAACACCTTCGTGGATTCAAAGAGAAAACACCTATTGCATTGTTAATTGATTTTAGTCGACTTGACTTTGTGCAAAAAATATCCTCAAGAAGGGCCTGGCTCATGTTCATAATAGTAAAAAAAAAAAGGAAAATAAATACGTTTTAAAGAAGTCCTTAGTTGGCTAACTCTGAACGATGAGAAGGCGGCACAGGTTCCAAATGCAAGCTCTGCACATCATCATCACCAGGGCAGTGGCATCAGAAGTCAGGGAACACAAATAGAAACACACATGGTTTATGACGTAGCCCTGCTAGTTAAATAATGTTCCCAAACACCCAGATTGAAGCAACGGTATTTCTTATACACGGCAATGGCGGGGCGGGGGAATTTAGCCTGAGATATGTTGTTAAAAGGCAAACCTTTGTAAACATTTCCTCAAAAGGAATAGTAGCAACTGAGTACGTATCAGTTACTCATATCTGTTTATAGAGCAATGCTTTACAAAACACATACGGGTTAGTCTGGGGGGGCGGGAGGGGGACAAGAACTTTATACAGTGTTGATGTTTTGAAACTGACGTCATCCATCCAAGTCCATAAGTTACTGAAGTCGTGGAGTTCGCTTCGCCGGCTCAGCATTTACTAGGTTTTCTGCTCTGCGGCCGTTGCTGTCTGCGAGGGGGTATCTGGCTTCATGATCTGATACGTGATCAAGTACTCGGGGTAAGCCTGAGAAGAAGGAGATAAATCCAAATGAACAGGCGTGTAAAAACATCCGCCACTGGGTCCCCAATGTGTCACCCCACCTTTCCTGGCACTCAAGGCTTTTTAGAAAGCAGGCAGGGCCCGGCAGGGCTTCTGACTGGCTGCGGGGATTTTTAAAAATATTGCTTTGGTGGCTTTACAAGGACCTTTACTACTACTATGGGACTGAAGGTGAGCTGCGGCAGCCACTGTGTGTCTGGCTCCCCCTCCTCTGGCCATCATTTTGTGGCAGCCATTTTATACCTGTGCATCCCCCGCACTGTGCCAGAATCCCAAAGGCTCAGAAAGGTTGGGGACCCCTGATCTATCACCACCTGCCATGAAGCCTCCTTATGATCACAACTTGAGGATTTATACCCCGCCCTCCACTACCCAAAGGAATCTCAGAGCGGCTTACAATCTTTTTTCCCTTCCCCTCCACACAGCAGACACCCTGTGAGGTAGGTGGGGCTGAGAGAGCTCTGAGAGAACTGCTCTGGAGAGAACAGCTCTGAAAGAACCTGTAACTGACCCAAGGTAACCCAAGCTGGCTGCATGCGGAGGAGTGGGGAATCAAACCTGGTTCTCCCAGATTAGAGTCCGTGCTCCTAACCACTACACCAAACTGGCTCTTTGCCAGAAAGCTCCCTATTTGCCAGAAGGCCCCCTATTGTGCAGGAGGCTTCAGAAAAACAAAGAAAAGCATTTCAGAACGCTTTCACACTTGCTACCTGTCCCCTCCATTCCCCAGAGGCCTGATCCCGATGAGCGCCGTCCTTCCTAGAATATAACAGAGCCCTCCTCTTCAGGTGCTTTCTCTTACATGCACGCTCTGAGAGAACTGCTCTGGAGAGAACAGCTTATCTCCGGAGAGGAACTGCAGGAGGCAGGGCCCTGTGCCGTGCCTGGAAGTCAAGCCTCTATTCTACCCATCTGCACACTTCATGAAGGTGGCTGGCTGGGTGGCGAGGGGAGATCCTCAAGGACACACTTCCTGCTCACCACAGAGGGGCTGGGGTAGCATGAGAAAGCTGTGTGGTCTGTTGGCAGGTACAGAAGCAGCCGCTTGCCTATGGGGTCCAAGCCTGGGAGGAAAGGGGCTGGCTTGCAAAAAACAACTGCCCCCTTCTCTCTGCGTTCCAGAACAATCTCCTGCTTGCAGAAAATGAAGCGGGAGAGAGATCAAATAAAGCCGACTAAGGGGCAGGGTGGGGGGGCATGGGTCAGCGGGGAAGCCTCTGCCTGGCACGCGGAAGGTCCCAAGCTCAATCCCTGCCATCCCCAGTTAAAAGGGTCAGACACCTCGGCCGGCCACCCTGGAGAGCAGGTGCCACCCAGACGACACAGACCTCGATGGACCAGTCATCCGGATACAGTATAAACCAGGTTCATGCGTCCATGTGAAAAGAACGGACAATGAGAAAAGGATATTAAAGGGGGGGAAACACTGCCAGAAGGAAAAGAAGAACATGCAAGGGGCTCTGGAGAAAGCCAGACTCTGGGGGAAGCCGGAGAGCCTCTTCCTTTGGAGGAGGCAGCATTTGGATCCTGGGCCAAGAGGAGCAGCTACCCCAGGAGCAGGAGGAACAGAGGGGGAAAGAGAGCTCCAGCCGGGCCAAGGGAGGCCAGAGACTCAGGCTTCGTCCTCCTCCACGCTTGGGGCCCTGAAAGAACTTCTGTCCGGGGTGTGTGTGTGTGAATCACTTGATCCACATCACAATTTGAGAACTGTTTCCTACATGTAAGTTTGTTCACCTTGGGTCTTGCTTTGCGGGAGTCGGGTAGGGTAATAAACAAATAAATGTAGTATGTAAATGAACACTGTCCCCATGGAGCCCCGTGATGGAGAGGAAATGAAGCCTGTTTGCATGCTGAATGGAAAGAGCCGGTCGCTGCCGCCTGAGCGACACACAGCTTAGCTTAGCCACACCAAGTAAACAGGCCCAGAGAAAGAATGTAAGTAAGCACCGGGGGGGGGGGGGGGGGGGAGAGTTCCTTTTGTTGGGTATTTTAAAAAAAAAAAATCTGAATCTTTTAACAGGCTTTAGGGGAACCAGGCGCCATCAACACGAACACATACCAGAGGCTAGCTTTACAGTACACAAAGAATAGAAAAAAATGGGGCAGCTCTGTACGTTGATACATTTGCCCTGGGAAACGCAAAACCATCCTGCTTGCTGCACCCAAGGATGGACTGTAAGACAGCAGGCCGGTAAGTATCGGCCTCCTCTGGGATCGCCAGACACACAGGTGGGTGTGGCATCAGTGTGCGTCCCCCACACTTGACAGATCTTACGGTTCAGGGAGCCGCTGGATTTGCTATGCAAAGCACAGAGCAACACCCCCCCCCCCGTTTGACAGACTCTAGAAACGCAGAGCAATTTCTTGAGCGCATCGCCAGGCTCTGCCAACTTGTCACGTTGCTTTTAGAAGCCACCTACCTGCTCTCCTCTGTAGATGACGTACTCCGCGTATGCCAGTCCGTTGACGCTCGGCCTGCCAATCACGGAGTGGTGCCCGGGAGGGGCGTGAGCCATTTTCATGGTGCTAAACTGTAAGAAGGATTTTCCCAGCGTAACGCGACAAAAAAGCATTTGTCTAAAAAACAGGAAGGGGGGGGGAGAGAAAGTTAATAATTGGGATCAATGGGAAGCTGGTCTTTGGTTTTTGTAAGATGCTAAGAAAGCTTTTCTAATGCAAGAGCTGTTTTTTATGGCAGTCATTGTTAGGACAAGCATACACGTGGTGTGTTTTTCCCCCCTTAGAGCCTGTAGTGAGTCGACTTAATTCATGGCAATTTTTACTGCAGTGACAAAGTTGAAACTCTCCCCGTGAGAGATCGATGGGAGAGAGAGAAACCAGATGGCGGACTGGCCCCCTCCCAAGGCACGCAAAGGGTCTGATGACTACGCAAAGTCTCTGGCTGAGACTGGCTCTTCAAGCCGTCATGCTGAAACTCTCCCCGTGAGAGATCGATGGGAAAGAGAGAAACCAGACGGCGGACTGGCCCCCTCCCAAGGCACACAAAGGGTCTGATGACTACGCAAAGCCTCTGGCTGAGACTGGCTCTTCAAGTCACCATGGCCAGGGCAGCTATCTATTCAGCTCCCACCCGGAAGCACCAGGAGCAGAGGACCACCTGGCTCTTCCCAATTATACTTTAACAAGCAGATATTAAGTGGTATGCCTCCTATTGGATCCAAACTGACTTCAAATGACCTACTTTAATTTTATTCATTATCTCTAACTGTTATTAGAAACCTGTATTTGACATATGTGGATATTATTTGATCTTTTCAAACCGCATTCATTCTCATTAAGAAAGCCCCAAGACACTTTCTTTCAGAATATTTTTCAAATATTCTGAGATTTTTGCTTGTTATATGAAAAGTGACAGCCCTTTCAAGTTTTTTATTATACAATTTTTTTTCCAGTGGCAAGAACCAATTATCCTTTCTCAGGGCTGGCGTGTAGTTTTGGAGCTCAATATTTAAGCAATTAGTAACCATATCTGCAAATTAATACCTCTATATCGCTAATGTACTTTTAATTGTACAAAATAAGGACGAACGGCCTTTTTGGGAGAATTGTTGTTAAAAGCAAAAAGGATGTTTATTAACCGAAAAGCTGAATTGAAAATACCTGCATGGGGGGGGGGGGGGGGGGGGGAATCAATCCAAGAACAAAAATCCAAATCAATCCAAGAACAAGAATCTGCACATATCCCCCAGAAGAAACTTTTTTTTTTAAACAAACAACTGAAAACAAAATGAAAGCGAAAAACAAGTAGGAAATAACTCATAAGAGCTGTGGAGCGAAGCTGAAATTGAAGCTAACAGCGATCCGATCAGACCGAGAAGGAAAGAAGGTCTTTCCAATGCAGCGGTAAGAAAGGAACTGGCGGGATGTCCGTGCCCACCCCCTCTGGGCATGCGCGGTGGGGTTCCTGCGCATGCCCGGGGGGCTGGGCGCGAAAATCCATTATAAGAGCTTGCTACAGCACTGATCGATCCAGCGCGTGCGCACTAGATCCCATGGGTGTGAAGCACAGAGACCACGACGAAGATTCTGCACATATCCCCTGGACAGAAAAGACGATCTGGGGAAAATATAATTGGTGTGCAACCGGGGGGAGGGGGGGGGACACACCCAGTTTCACTTCCTCACCGTGAAAGAGCATGCGCTCGTTGTGATGGTTATGGTTTTCTTCAGACACTTCCTTCTGCCGGTGACAGAATCTCTCCCTTAGCTTCTTATTCACTACTTTCTGAATCTATTAAAAGGGTAAACAAAGACACATACTAATCAAATCAAACAAAAGAGCTCCTCTGAAAACGTTTCTGTATAAACAGAGTCGTTCTTAAAAGGTGCAAATTATTTTTATAAGCAAAAGTAGCTTTGCTGAAGATTACAAGCCAGAAATCAAAAGGGACTGAGGTTCCTGTTACCTTTTTGCAAGATTACTTACAAACGGCAGAAGTTATGGTATGTTCAGGAGTTAAAATACAAAATCTACCAAAAGGAACCAAATTTACTATGTGAAGCCTGAAATCAAATGGAGTAAGGGCTTGGAAAAGGTCATTTAAGTGGCATCAATTTAATGGGAACTTTAACTGTTGCTGGACTAGCAGATTAACTGCTTCAATATTCAGAACTGCTCACTATAATTCAGAGGAGCAAATAAGAACCCTGGTGTGTCCTGATCTGCAGGGTGAATAGTTATTCTTTCTCTCAATCCCAAAGGGCCCAAAGATTTGACCGAAATAGCTTTGGAGCCATACCAGATGCCATTGCTCCTACAACCATTCTGCCTGCTTTGGACTTACCGGGAGCAACTGGTTGGCAAAGGGGACAGTGTGGAAGAGATGGCATGAGCTGGCAGGGCTCTTGTGTTCTCAACTAAGCTCTGAACTGGAAGGACAGCAGCCTTTCAGATGAATGATTGAAACAGACACCTGCACGCCCCCTCCTCTAGAAGACGCCTAAAAGCTATCAGTATTTAAAAAATATATATCTATCACCAGAACACCAAAGCTGGTATCCACACGAAAACCATCAAAAGCACTTGAAGGTGAACATGCCCTTATCCAGTTTGCTCTGCTTTGTGTTAAGTTTTATGCCTAAGCAGACAGAATCCAGGGAAAGACCAGCTGATCTCAAGGAGAGCAGTTTACTCGTTTAAAAACTTGCATCCTCCCCACTAAGATTATATCATGCAAAAGTAATTGGTAACCCTCGGTGTTGGAAAGGGTGTGGTAATACGGGCGCCTTCATTCACTGCTGGCAGACATGCCCAAAAATTCAACTTTTTTGGGGAAAGATATTTAAATACATAAAAGATATAACTAGTTACTCTTTGCCAGGCAACCCAGAACTCATCTTGCTAAACTTATGGCCCACTAATACAATTTCCAAACAGAAGAATTGACAGCCATACTATTGACAGCAGCTAAGACATTGTTAGCGCAGAGACAGAAGTCAGATAAGAACCATACAGTTAGACAATGGTTCGTGAAAACATGGGAATTGATAGTGATGGACAAAATATTGGTTCAGGTGGCATTGCAGAAAGCCCAAAATATAAGTCATGCTTCCTGGAGAAATGGTACACCTTTGATTATATCACTAATTCCGCCACAAAGGACAGCAAACGTCCTAGAAAATACACCCACTTTTTTTCAGTATTAATGATCTGGTTGTATGAAACATTTCTTCACGATTCAAAGTTATACCATTTTGTGAAATTATTGTTTTCAATACGTATACTCGAAATCCATATTGTTAATTGTTATTGTTCAAGCTTTATATTTTATTAACAAAATGTTTATTTTTTAAAAAAATGTATCCTGTTTTCCCCCCCACAAGGGCTGAGGGCCGCTCCCCTCGCCTTGCAGAGATTCATTTATCAGTCACGTTAGCAACGGTTTCTGTATTGAGGTTCCCAAGGTCCTTGGATGCTTACCCTGATGACGTGATACCTGTTGAAGATCCCTCCAGCGTTGCCACCATCTCTGTGTTCCCTGATGGTACTCTGCATCTGTCAACGGTAAGGGCAGCCACATGTCAAGAACCCGACGGCTCAAAATTACTGCCGTGCGTCTTAATTGCGGGCTGTACTGCACACCTGGTAGGCAGGTAGGTACACCTGAAGGGCTGGGAGGAAATGCAAGCTACAGCAAGAAAGGGATGCACCACTCGTCTCTCACACCTATGGCTTTTTTCAACCCGTGACATCTTTTTTTTTGGGGGGGGGGGGGGGGGGGAAGAGCACAAAAAGGATCTTGCCCTGCTCCCTACTCATCCCAGGAAGGTGGCAGTCATGGGAATGATGAAGGCAGCATCTTCTGCATTTATTTCCTTCCGATAAAGACACGGGGAGCTAGGGACACTCTGGTCCTTTGTGATGCAACACAGATCTTTAGGTAAGAAGAAGAAGAAGAAGAGATTGGATTTATACCCCGCCCTTCACTACCCGAAGGCGTCTCAGAGCGGCTTACAAACTCCTTTCCCTTCCCCTCCCCACAACGGACACCCTGTGAGGTAGGTGGGGCTGAGAGAGCTCTTGACAGAAACTGCTCTTTTTCAAGGACAGCTGCGCCAGAGCTTGTGACTGACACAAGGTCACATCAGCAGGTGCAAGTGGAGGAGTGGGGAATCAAACCCGGTTCTCCCAGATTAGAGTCCGCACACTTAACCACTACACCAAACTGGCTTTCCCAAGCTCCTGGTAAGAGCATCAGAAGGAGCTTTCCCAAGCTCCTGGTAAGAGCAGCAGATGAGGATCATGGGAGGTCCAGGTTCAAATCCCCGCTCCACCTAAGTGACCCATGGGCCAAGTCACACAAACACTTAAGCCTAACCTACCTCACAGGGTTGTTGTGAGGATAAAATGAAGGAGAGGAAAGCAATGTAAGCCACGCTTTGGATCCCCACTGGGGAAAAAGGCAGGGTATAAATGAGGTAAAATAAATAACCCCTGCCCGGTATTAATATGGCAAGGAGCAGAGAGCAAGGCATAGTATTTGGGCTATCTTCACTCAGCGATGTACGAAGCAGGCACGGTCATTTCCGATTCTTGTTCCACAGTCCTTTTGCCATTCGTTGGTGGGGGGATGTGGGAGGACCCCCCCCCTCCACCGCCAATAGCTCGCTGCTTGCTCTTAACTGGGCCGCCGCGGGGGAACAGACAGAGGAAAGCTCAGCGGGGTTTCATGGACCAGAAGAGTACAAGTGCCAAGTTCCGCTTTTCCCTTTGGGGCAGGAGCCGCCACGCAGGCACGGTCGTGCATCTCTCAGGGGTACGAGGATTTCCCTGGGGGCTTCTTCCCCACAAAGCTCTCGGGAGCCTAGAGGCCCCCAACAGGCACTCCACAAACAGTAGCCAGGCAGCCCTTTCAGAAAGCCTTTATAGGAGGGGGTGACTGGATCAAAGAAGCTGCATTCCAACGGCATCTCCAGAGATACTTCACTCCATACAGGGTTTCAAACAGGGTTTTATACGCATTAAAAAAGACGTGCCATCCAGCAGTGAATGGGCTGGTGCCAAAAGAAATGCAGCAAGTCCAGGCCAACTTCTTAACTAGGTTAAACTTGCTTATACCAATCACAGTGAATGTGCCTGGCCCCCAGGCCCTATCCTGTGTGCTTCTGGGTTCTGTGTAATGTCATAAATATACTTCTTGTATATTTATCGTGGCCTTTTAACAAACTCTTCAATCTATGGAGTGCCTTTTTTGGGGGGGAGGGGGTTTGCTGACACAGAGCACAACCACCCCATTTGTGAATCTAGCGATCGAGACAAACGACCCGTGTACCAGATTTCGGCCGGAAGTATCCTAGTTTTGATACACCTGTGCATTCAAGGTTTACCTCTTCTTCCACGGATTGATATTCTTTGTCGTCAGGAGCCAGGTCGATGAGAATGGTCCCCTGGCTGGCGCAGTGAAAAGTCAAATAAGGATTGGAGCCTGAAAAAGCAAAGTTCCCAAGATATTAGGATCTGCACATGTTCCTTGTAGACATCACTCAAGATTACAATAAATCCGAAATCGATTCTTTGACTGGATATTGTCATGGCTAAATAACGGCGGCAGTGAAGAGCACACCAAATCAAGAGAAACCTTAAAAAAAAAAAACCCAGCTTAATTGCAACTTGATTTGTATTCTTCTGGTAAGCGTATGTCCTAAGTCCCTCTGTTCTCACAGCGATCCCACAAGACTTTGAGAGCTGGTGTACACAACAGCGGCTCTGTAGCCACAATTATTAAAAAAAAAAGTGTTGCAATTACGAGAAAGGGTTCCAGAGGAAGATTAGAAGGGACGATGCTGCCAAGGAAGCAAAGGCGAGACAACATGGCAGGGCCATTAACTAGATGCAAGGCAGAATAGGGACAATGGCTCCAGGCGTCTAGATAACAGCGCATCGTATTTATAAAAGGTTTTCCAATTTGGTCTTTGTTCTCCATTCTTTATTACCCCTAGTCCGACTATTTACAACTGCCAGTTCTTCGGGAAAAGGAATCCATCTCTGTTAAGACAAACTGCAGCATCATACCCCGAGGTTCTGTTAACAGGGCCAGCTATAAAAATGAACTGGATTAAAAAAAATCCAATCAGTGCCTCGCATAAATCATCCCCTCCTTCAGGCCCTTCCTGAAAGATTTCGCTAGTATATTAAAAGGACCGGGAGGGGCTCTTACTGGTTGTAGCTGAAGCTCACGGACGGATTCTTAGTGCATGTGGCTTTAATAGACTCACCTTGCTGTCCCCCCAGAAGTCTCTCTACACCTTTTATTAACTTATGACGGTGCCCATAGGCATTGATACCGATCTCTTTCAGCTCTTCGTGTCCCATGTCAGCCAGTACATCCAAGGTAATCTGAATTGCAGGGAGGAGATGATAAAAAAAGAAGTGTGCAGTTATGTTACGCTAGTGGCTTTGTGTCGTGGAAAGAAGGCGGGGTAGGTTAAACCAATTAATAAGCGTAGTGATGCACTGATCTCTGCAGCCCTTTCTTCTGCCTTTTCCCCCTTGTGGCCTCTGACCCAGTCAAACTTTAAGCAGCTGGCATCACTGGGCAGAGGACATCTCTTTTTGGCTCACATGCTGTGTAAGCTCATGGCAGTGACTACTGATGAAACCAGGAGGTTAGATTCATGGAGAAGAGGTCCATCGGTGGCTACTAGCCATGGTGACTAACTGGAACCTCTGGACGTTGAAGCAGTCAGCCTCTGAATCCCAGGGTTAGTATGCAACACCGGGGGACAGCCATGTCCTCTATGACTTGTCGAAGCAACTGGTTGGCCACTGAGTGAGACAGGATGGGGGACTAGATGGGCTACTGCTCTGAGCCAGCAATGAGTTTCAGGATATGGAAGACTTCTATAGGATCTCCAAAAAAAGGGGTTAGGAGCTGAGGGAGGATGGCGTGGAGGAACAAAACTCCTTTGCAACAGCAAATGGTCGTTTTCCAAGAATGGAGATGATTGGGCCTGAGCCATTAGCCATTAGCTGGAGTGCAGCACTGGGAAGAGATCCTCCTCAAAGCAAGGTAAATGAAAATGAAGTGCTTAGGGCAAGAGATGCTAACACTGCAGGGAGGAAGATACACACATAACAGTTATTCTAGACAACCAGCTGGTTATCTTTAAGCAGCAGATCTACAGAAGAGGGTGACTGTGTCTCCTGAGGAGTAAAGAGTAGGGAAAATCTGCACAAGTCTTGGTGAAAGATCTCTCTCAAGTTAAACAGCATCCGATGCCACCCAAAGCCACTCTACCATGGCCAACGTCACTTCTGTTAGCCTCGCCAAAAGTATTTAAATACCAACCCCCCCACCCCCCAAAAAAACAATCAACTCCCGGGATACCAAAGAGTTGCTCTTTTTTATTTTTGCCCTTGAACTAGGCCCCCATTTGCCATCCAGAATGTGATGCTGCTGCTTGCAAAATTCATGCCTAAGCCCCAGAATCCCCGGGTATGAGGAACCATCTGTATGCATGGCTCCTCGAATCCCAGCCAGTATTTCTGATCATTCCATGCATATGAAAACCCCGAAATACATATACACGACAACAACTCATTTGGCACAAAAACAGGGCCTTACCTGCTCCGTCTCGAAGATATCCCGAAGATGTTCCAGACCCAGGCTTTTCAGGAACTGGCTGATGTTCATGTCAAGTCCAACAACTGCAGTTAAGAGAGAGACATCAATCTATCCCTTTGCGCGGAGCTTCCAGCGCATATCAAATCTACCGAGCTTCGATTTCCACTCACAGCTCTCCACGGGGCCTGTTGGGCCTCATGCAATATTAAAATTGAGTAAAGCCAAGGTTTACCCATCCCCGCTGCCTTTAAATTTAATCAAAACCAAACCAAACCCTGGGAGCAATGCAGGACAGAGCCAGGAAGGAATGCAGAGAAAGACTGGATACATTTCTGCTGAATGGGTCCTTCAGTACAATGACACACAATGCATTTTGCAATAGCTAACAACATGTCCAGAATCTCTCTTGCTGATTAACCGTTTTGGGCACACTTCAAGTGGATCAAAGTCAGATGTCATGTGAAACTATGTGAAGCTGTAGTTAGTGCAATTTTCTAAATACAAGCCACTCTTGTTAACTATGGCTCGTTAGAGTCCAGTAGCACCTTAAAGACTAACAAAATTTATGGCAGGGTATGAGTTTGCATGAAGCACTGCTCACTTCTTCAGATTCCTGTTATGAGCAGTCATGAGCAGAGACTCATCCCCTGCCACAAATTCTGTTAGTCTTTAAGGTGCTACTGGACTCTTGCTCTTTTCTACTGCTACAGAGTAACACAGCTACCAATCTATTAGTTAGGTTCCATCAAACCAGAATCTGAAGTTAGCTTATTAACCACAAGTTAAGTCTTAACTGCGGTTTAATATGATGTTGGAATGGAGACATCTGGGTTTTCTCTTTGGCAGTGCCCTCCCAGGCGGCAAAGAGAAGGAAATGAAACCAGTGACGGCCAAGCTGAACCAGGATCTGAGTGACTGTCTGAAACCTGAATCCTGGTTGCACAGACGAGCCATAGTTAAAATAAAACACAGTTCTATGTTATCACTGAACTGAGTCATTATGTACACGCAGAACAACTCGGGAGGAGATTAGTCGAAGATGATTTAGCAGCTGCTTCTGCCAAAAAGGTATTTCTCACTGCTGCACACGAAACACCTACAAGTTCTTCCATCAGTACCATCTTGTGAAATTACATACTCTCTATATGAGTCGACCACTTGTGGCTCAGTACCATCTTGTGAAATTACATACTCTATAAGTCGACCACTTGTGGTGTTAGTAGAGTACACAAAGCCACCCCAGTGTACTACTTGGCTCTTACTAACCATGACCACCAAATCTAAAAGAAATTTTAGAAATTGGCAAGCCTCCATAAGCACTCCTTTCTCCAGTCAAGCTCTCCTGTGCAAGGAACAAGCATGTACATCTCTAAATACCAGTGACAGGAGGCAATCTCAGGGGAAGTCCTAGGTCTCTATCCCCTGGTGTTAGACCTCCTGAGGAAATGGCTGGCCATTGTGCGAGACAGGATGTTGGACCGGATGGACCTCTGGCCTGATCCAGCAGAGCTTTTATTTTCTGTCACTCATACAGGAGGAAGAGGAGGAGGAAGTGGAGGAGGAGGAAGAGGAGATACCCTGCTCTTCACTACCAGAAGTAGTCTCGGAGTGGCTTACAATCACCTTCCCTTCCTCTCCCCACAACAGGCAACCTGTGAGATATATGGGGCTGAGAGGGTTCTGAGAGACCTGTGACTGACCCAAGGTCACCCAGTTGGTGTCATGTGGAGGAGTAGGGAAGCAAACCCAGTTCTCCAGATTAAAGTCCACTGCTCTTAACCACTACACCAAACTGGCTCTCAAAAGCAGGAACCAATCACAGATGTAAACAGACAGGAGGAGTAGAAATCCAGGAAGGCATTTCACTTGTTTCTGGGAAAATAGCTTCCTTTCAAATGCTGCACACATCACACCGGACAATGTTTTAAAGGAGATAGCCACACACACATTTTTAGGGCACATGCTGTGACGCTACCTTCTCCTTCTTTCCTCTCGGTGCCTGCCGCTCCGTCCCCGGCATTGGACGCCCCTCCCACAGCAAGTTCCCCCAGAGGGCCGGCAAGGTTATCAATGCTGCTGGCAGCTGACAGACAGGAGGGAGTTGATGCTGGGGAGATGATCGAGGCGCTGACCACAGTCGCTTGAGGTTTGAAGCAGGTAGGCAAGGCCTCTGGGGGCATTGCATCGATCAACAGGGCCCGAATGTCATCCGCCTGAAAGCCAATAAACTTTTAATTAAAAGAGGAGAAGAAGAGGACTTAGACCCCACCCTTCACTACCCAAGGGAGTCTCAGAGCGGCTTACAAACTCCTTTCCCTTCCCCTCCCCACAACAGATACCCTGTGAGGTAGGTGTTTCTGAGAGAGCTCTGACAGAAACTGCTCTTCTTTCAAGAACAGCTCTTGTCAGAACTATGGCTTGCCCAAGGTCATCCAGCAGCTGCAAGTGGAGGAGTGGGGAATCAAACCCGGTTCTCCCAGATTAGAGTCCGTGCACTTAACCACTACACCAAACTGGTGCTTGACCATTTCTCAAAAAATGGTTAGACAGAGTTCTAAAAAGCGCTTTCTCCTTCAACCGCTATCCACTTGTGACCTGTTGAGGCACCAACCTTTGTCAGCAAAACCGAAAGCCTTAACAGTCACTGATTTGAAGCTATCTGAAAAGAATAGCTGCAAGGTTTTCAGGTGGAACAAAATGCCTCTCAATATGAAAATTTGCTCCCCCTCCAAAAAAAATATTCCTCTACTTTGTCCCATTAAGCTTTTCCCAGGAGAAAAAAGATTCTTCGCTTAGGCTCCCACGTGCTGACATTTCAAGTGCACACCGCTGGTATTTAAAGATAACGATAATGTTTAAGACAAAGGCACTGAAGTTGAACTTAAGGAGATGGTGATCATTAAGTGGCAACCAAAGTCTGACTTAAACTCTTCTGATTTTGAATGGGTTTGCAATCAAAATGTATTGAAACTGACTCCACAAGGCCATTTTGCTGCTTTTCAAGAGTCACTTACCGTGGCTAGGTCCAAAGGCGTCTGGCCTTCTTGGTTCTTCATCGTTGGGTCTGCTCCGTGAGCCAGAAGCAGAGCACACAGCTGCGTCCGCCCTTTTTGTGCTGCTTCGTGCAGGGGCGTAAATGCCCATTTATCAGTTGCGTTTACGCAGGTGTTGTACTTGATCAGCAAAGCGGCTATATCCACATGCTGGGGAAAAGAAACAGGCAGTTTCAAAAAGGAGCGAGGCAGAAATTTAGAGGAGAGGTGAGAAAAAACAAGACCACTGCCCTTTCTGAGACTATTTAGGACTCCGATGCGCATTGCAATGCACACATATTCTGAAATCAATCAGTCTGTCTGTCTACCTGGAAGTGTCTGCACACACTCACACACACTAAATATATACACAGCATATGGTAGAGTCGAGCCATCTTATCTAATAGTTTATGCAGGTTCAGATTGGAGTACCTGTTCTTTAATCTCCTCAATGTTTGTAATGTGGGAGAATGAACATGTCTGTTCCCACCTTGGTTTGCAGAAATTGGAATAAGTCTGGATTACAGTTAACAAAGAAAGGCACCAGGATATAGTGGCCCTAGGGACTACCTCCTCTCAGTATCAGTTGGGCTCAGGCTTTGAGCACACACTACGGGTATACCATATGGCCGTTTAGCAACAGGTAACTTGCCACGATGTGCCAGGGATCCTTTTAAAAGAGGGCTATACTGTTCTGCCAAGAGATCTGGAGAACTTTACTGCTCCCCCTACCACCCAGTTTTCTTGTTAGGAACTGAAGTGTGTTAAATTTGCCTCCTGGCATAATGGCACAGAGAACCACCTCATGGACACCCACAGGTAAATTACCACTTCGTAAATGATCATTTTTTCCCCCTTAGAAAAGTGGATAACCCTGAAAGAACGTTCCCTGTTTCCCATTTGACTGACACCCCAGCTTTGGTACCGAGAAACCTACTGTGAGTTGAGACCTGCCAACAGTCACGACACAGGGACCTACCCCATAAGATGCTGCATTCTATTGCTTCTTATTCTCTTTACCCTGTTTGTTGTCAAAACCCAGGGCTTTTTGCATGTTAGGCCACATACCCCTAATTGTAGCCAATCCTAATGAGTTTCTGCTGTTGAGTGTGGCCTATTATGCTAATGAGTTCCTGCTGGGCGTGGCCAACTTGGGAACCAGCCAGAACTCCGTTCCTGTGCATTCCTGCAGGAGATCCTGAATATCGGTGTCCCCCTCTTTCACCAAGTCGAGAGGGGTGTTGCCATCTCGGTTCTTCTTCGTCGGATCCGCTCCGTGCTGCAACCAACATTTCAACTGTTTACTGGCAGAAATTCAACGGAAGGTCAACTGCACTTCCCTTCCAAGGGCCTTCCCTCCGACACCAGATTAGCGCAAGGGGGGGGGGGAGAGACACTGTGCCAAGGAATTTGCAATCTTAATTTCAACAGTTCGGTGACAGGGAGGAAACGCAAGGAGGGCAGCCCTTTTTGGCGGCATCCAGCAGGGCGGCATCGCCTCGCAGGAGATCCTGAATATCGGTGTCCCCCTCTTTCACCAAGTCGAGAGGGGTGTTGCCATCTCGGTTCTTCTTCGTCGGATCCGCTCCGTGCTGCAACCAACATTTCAACTGTTTACTGGCAAAAATTCAACGGAAGGTCAACTGCACTTCCCTTCCAAGGGCCTTCCTCCGACACCAGATTAGCGCAAGGGGGGAAGAGGACACTGTGCCAAGGAATTTACAATCTTAATTTCAACAGTACGGTGACAGGGAGGAAACGCAAGGACTGCCTAGTTTTAAATATACTTCCTTCCTAAGCGGTTTTTCTTTTCTTAAAGGGGTGAGATATATGACAAGCAATCACACCCTTGTCTGCAAGTAGGGGAACATAATCCAGCACATGTTTTCACGCAACAATGACCCACTGATCTCCAAGGAACTCAAGGATGTCTATCCCCATGCTGGACTGCAGGAGTGGGGCTCCTTTTGGAGATGGAAGTATCATAATGGGTGTGTGTGTGTGTGTTACGATTTGAATTTCACCTCTTCCCCAGATTCTCTAAGTGAATTTAGACAAGCCATTCTCTCTCAGCCTCAACACCACCACCCCTGTAGTAGGGGGATCGTACTGACCTACCTTGCAGGGATGTTGTAAGACTCACACCAAAATAATTTACATTTAAGGGTTTGAACACTGAAAATGCTGTAAAAAATTCTAAGTAGCGCTATTTTATTTGGAAAGCATCCACTTACCAGGGATGCTTGAGGCTGATCCTGCATTCAGCAGTGGACTGAACTAGATGGCTGTTATGCCCCCTTTATATTCTATGATTCCATAATCCTGTGAAATCAGGTGTTCTGTTTCATGTCATAATGATAAATTTGGGGGTAAAGCCAAGAGAGATGTACCAGATTGCCTTGTGGTGCGTGTCAGGTCATTTTTTAAAAAAATTACATGTGAATTTCTTGCCACATTTGGGGGAAAACTTGACACACAGTATGAAAGCACTGAATAAAATAAAATTCACGTACCATCAGTAACCACATTACTACTGGACTGAATAACTCGAGCTGGAGGCCAAAAGCTTCCATTCAGAAACAATACTGCATATTACATCCAAGAATTCTGAAAGAACTCAGATGTGAACTTGTGGATCTCCTGACAAAAATATGCAGTCACTAAAATCTGCCTCCATTCCCAAAGACTAGAAGGTAGCCAATAGTAACTCCCATCTTCAAAAAAGGTTCCAGAGAAGATCTGGGAAATTACAGGCCAGTCAGTTTAACATCGAAACCAGGTAAATTGGTTGAATCCCGTATTTGAAGATAAAATTAGTAGGCACACTGATGAACAAAAGCTATTGATGAAGAATCAGAATGGATTCTGTAAGGGAAGATCTTGTCTCACTGACCTTTTAGAGTTATTTGAGGGGGGGAACAAACATGGGGGCAAGGGTGACCCCAGTAGATGTTGTTTACCTAGACTTCCAGAAAGCTTTTGATAATGTTCCTCATCAAAGACTCCTAAGTAAATTCAGCAGTCATGGGATAAGAGGACAAGTCCTCTTGTGGATTAAAAACTGTTTAATTAACAGGAAACAAAGAGTACAAACGGGCAGTTTTCACAGAGGAAGATGGTAACCACTGGGGTGCCGCAGAATTTGGTACTGGGTCCGGTGCTTTTTAACTGGTTTATTAATGATTCGGAGTTGGAAGTAAGCAGTGAAGTGGCTAAGTTTGTGGATGACACTAAGCTGTTCAAGACAATGACAACCAGGGAGGACTGTGAAGCGCTCTTGAGGAGACGGTTGAGCCTGGGCGAGTGGGTGTCAACGTGGCAAATGAGTGGCAAACCTGGTATTTTTGGCCACTGTGTGACAGTGTTGGACTGGATGGGTCAGTGGCCTGATCCAACATGGCTTCTCTTATGGTCTTTTTATTTACCTATTTCTATTTATATCCCCCCCCCCTTCCTGCACGGGGGCTCAAGGCGAGTCACAGCAATAAATTACAATCAACAAACAGAGAAATAAATACTAAACAGTAAAAACAGTTAAAAGGTAAGCATTGCAACAATTACATAGTCAACAATCCTAATAGCTGGGAACAATTGGGCTATAGAGATCTTATTAAAAGCAGCATAACTTTTACAGAATAGGCAGGGATGGAACTCTTACAGACCCCACTGGGAAGGCTGCTCCAAAGAACAGGTCCTCCCTCAGAAAAAATGCTTGTCTTCCCCTGGGAAGACTAGCAGGGACAGCAATGTTTGCTGAGAGGCACAGGGGTTTTTAAAAGAAAGAGACCATCTTCAGCAGGTGGGTCATATCTGGAGAGGTAAAGGTAAAGGTTCCCTTGATCGAAAGCCAGTCGAGTCCGAGTCTAGGGTTGCGGTGCTCATCTCCGTTTCAAAGCCAAAGAGCCAGCGCTGTCCGAAGACGTTTCCGTGGTCATGTGGCTGGCATGACTAAACACCGAGGCGCACGGAACGCTGTTCCCTTCCCACCGAAGTGGTACCTATTTATCTACTTGCAATTTCGTGCTTTCTAACTGCTAGGTTGGCAGGAATCTGGAGAAGGGTGCTACAAAGTAATAGCTGGCATCCTGCCTAGGCCTGGAAACAAATCAGTAACCAATCTCATTGTTTCAGAGCTGACATTTACCCATTTCCAACAGTAGATGAGCCACCATATTTTTACCACCTGTAGTTTCTGGGATCAGAGTTGGTAAGGGCAGCCGACTCTCTGTTTCCAAATGGAGCTTCCAAATTCAGGACGTGTCACCTCTCAGGAGGGAAACGTCCACCCTCCAAGTAGATGACTGGGGAAGAGGAGGAGGAGCAGACTGGATTTGTCCCATGTTTTATGTTGGGGCATGATCAAAAACAACTAGATTTTGGGACTGGGAACCATCTAGTTAAAAGCAGTTTCTAGTCAGCCTGCAAGAGTCATGTCATGTATACTCCCATATCAGTTGTGTGGAATACTCTTCATACCTCCCACCCGTATCTTTCACATACGAACAGCCAACCTTATCCGAGGATGCCCACTTGCCCCAGATCCATTTTTTAAACAGACCACACCAAAGTGGCTCTTCCCATGTTTTATGTGGGGGCATGATCAAAAACAACTAGATTTTGGGACTGGGAACTATCTAGTTAAAAGCAGTTTCTAGTCAGCCTGCAAGAGTCATGTCATGTATACTCTCATATCATTTGTGTGGAATACTCTTCATACCTCCCACCCATATCTTTCACATACAAACAGCCAACGTTATCCGAGGCTGCCCACTTGCCCCAGATCCATTTTTTAAGCAGTGATTGAAACTGGCTGAAAGACTTTGTAGTGAGATTCGGGTTAATCTCACTCCAATGGGCTTCCCAGGCACTGTAAAATAAGGAAGACTGTCTGGAGGTTGTTACTGTTTGTTTAATTGGTTACAGATAAAGTGACAGCTTCTCTTCCTGTTGATGTTGCTGAATCCAGGCTTGGCAGCTGCCTGGGAAGCATCCCAATCATTTCAACAGGGGGCAAAACTCAAGCATAACAGCTTTTCTAAACAAATGCAAATAAACAGCACATTTTTATCATCAGAACGCAAGCATCAGAATTCTTGTTTGCAAACACAAACGAAGTTGAAATTCTTACAGCTTAGGAAAAGCTACCCAAGAATGGGGGGGAAACTTTACAGACGTCTAGTAGCTAGACTACGAAAAAAGGATCTTAAAGTTACTAATGCTATAATATATTGAACAATACTGGACATATAAGCAGACCATCCCAGGGAAAGCAGAGGACAGGAACAGTTGTTAGCTAGACAGAAAGAGCGGCAATTTATCAAAGCCAACAGGGACATATGTGGGCTGAACGTCACTCTTGCATGTTCAACGAGCAATGCGTGGGTCTCCCAAGGCCCATTCGTTCTTCTTTACCACTTATTTGTTAAATTCAAGAAACTGTTAAGAGCATTATGTCTTTCTCATGCTACCTTTTATGGCTTTTTGTTGGGTTCCAACCACCACAAACACCTACAAGCTCATCCTGAAATTCGTTGTGCGCCTACCACTGTATAATCCAGCTATGTCTGCAACACATACTATACCCCGCTTTAAGACTACTTCAAACAGTAGAGCTCAGGGGTCAGACCCAGACGAAGCCTGCAGTGGCCACTGGTTCCCCCTGTCCTGCTGCAGATCCCCCCTCATGCCATTCCTCAGGACCCCCCCCCACCGTCCTCCAGGAACAGCATCACATGGAGATCGGTGGGTTGTTGTTGGGGGCGGGCAGGCAAGGAAGGTCTACTCTGCCGTTAGAAAATTTATTCTGGCTCCAAACCTTTGGGCTTCACCTCCACATCCTGAGCCGTCTTTCCCCCCTTACCCCTATTTTTGGTTTTTATACTGAACCACCGGTCAGATGAAAAGTTCTAGACCTAACAAACTGTCTTGGTGATGGTTTGGTGATTCTAATTTAAAAGGTGTTACACAACTGGCTTGGGGATCTTCCTATCAGCCACTGCCCTGTATTTTATCAAGAGGGCGTCTCCTTGAAATTTGCTGGCGTAAAGTGCCACCAAGTCATCAGCCCCATCGTGAGGTTTTTCAAAGCAAGAGACAAACAAAGATGGCTTGCCATTGCTTTCCTCTGCATAGCAACTCTGGCTTTCTGGGTGGTCATCCATTCGAGTACTGACTGTGGCCAACCCTGTTAAGCTTCTGAGCTCTGGTGGGCTAGTCTGGGCTGCTTAGGTTTATGCTCCTTTAAACACATGTATGCTCCTTTGAACACTTTAGATCACTGAGAGCCAGTTTGGTGGTAGTGGTTAGGAGCGTGGACTCTAATCTGGGAGAACCGAGTTCGATTCCCCACTCCTCCATGTGCAGCCAGCTGTGTGACCTTGGGTCAGTCACAAGTTCTCTCAGAGCTGTTCTCTCAGAGCTCTTTCAGCCCCACCTACCTCACAGGGTGTCTGTTGTGGGGAGAGGAAGGGAAGGAGAATGTAAGCTGCTCTGAGACTCTTTTGGGTAGTGAACAGTGGGGTATAAATCCCTCCCCCCTCCTCCTCTGCTTCCTGAAATGTGTTTTGGGCAAGAGATCCACTTTTTCTTGTATATTCTATGTATTTATTTTACATCTTTCCACCAAATTAAGGTGTTCTTTAACATCACAGACTCACCAGACTCAAGCCTTTGCTATCCCGGATGACTCTCTACAATCTCTACTATAGCATTAAGTTCAGCGGCAAAGGGATTGGAATGTTATAAAAACAAAACACAGACGTTGTATGCACATCCGCATCAGCTGCACACTGGTGTACCCACTGCTGATTAAGGCAATTATCTTAATTAAATCTATTGTTTCACAAATAATTCCAAGAAAAACACGGAAGATTGGGGGGAAGGAGAAGAGATGTGGTTCTAATTAATTTTGATTGTTCCGTCCTTTCAGTTACTATTGATTCCCTTCAATTCGATTGAGTAAAAGCAGTTTCTGTCTCCATAGACTCCCTCCTGAGATGTTCCCTTTTTAACAAATGAATTGGCCAGTGGCTACGAGACTCTGGAACAGAAATCTGGATACCATGGCAACTAGCGAGAAGCCTGAGAAAAAGATTACTCAGTGTCAGCCACAAGTCAGATTACAGGTGCGGTGGGTTTTTCTCCCCCCCCCCAGAGAATGGGGAAGGAAAGAAAACAGCCTCTTGCTCGGTGTGGCAGTGCAGAACTGGATTTGGGGAGCTCCAGTCAGGAAAGCAAGGGATCCTCTCCAGGTGGTGTGAGGGAGGGTGCCTGAGGAATGGGCGCTTTCTCTATAAACTCCCTGGCCAATTCTCCTTGCAAAAATAACCTCAAACCGGATGACAATCACCATCCGCTTCCAGTTCTGTGTCTCTGTGGCTGATCGGGAGGGAGACAGAAAGGCGGGAATCTAGGAATGCAGGATGGAAGGAAGGCCACACAGACACACACCCTTTCGTGTTCAGAGGCAGGATTTTTCTCGGTCTCAGAAGATTGGGACAAACACAAAAGAAGAAGAAGAAGAAGAAGAGATTGGGTTTATACCCCACCCTTCAGAGAGCGCCTTGAGGCAAGTGGGCTGAGAGCTCTGAGAGAACTGCTCTTGGGAGAACAACTCTGAAAGAACTTGTGACTGACCCAAGGTCACACCAGCAGCTGTACGCAGAGGATTGGGGAATCAAACCCGCTTCTCCCTGATTAGAGATCGCAGTCTTACCACTACACCAAACTGGCTCCCCTTATGCCTTGTCTGTAGGCTTCCCAAAAACAGTCTGGTTGGACACTGCTGGAAACAGAATGCTGGACGAGGTGAAACCTGGTCCCAGTTCCCCTATGCTTGTGTGACAAAACAACATGAAGACACAGGCTACCTGCTTACAGAGTCTCCCCACTTGTACCCATTAAAAAAGCCCGGGTTGGCTAAAGGCAGTGCCTGCTAATCTTCTCTCATCTCCATGGCTAGATCAGTCGACAAGTGACCACTCCTAGCTTTTGCTACTCTGATTGGCTTTTCTCCTCTTGGTATCATGCAGCTTTGCGGCCAGTGGATATTGTTTGCATCTGGTGTGCAGCCTTGAGCGGGTCAGCCTAAATAAATAAATCTTCAAATGAGCATGAAATGATTCCTTGTTTTAGAGTGTGTGTGTGTCTCTTTAAATGTTAGGTTGCAGTGCAGTGAATACAGAGTAGATTGATTGAGAGTGACAAGTGGGGAGTGATTGGAGGATGAGAGAGTGTGGGAGGAGTTTCTGAAGTGGATCTGTGTGAGTGTCAGTCAGTCATTTATAGAAAAGTCAGTTAGATAAATCAGTTGGAATTGTTTAGTTAGAGAGTTCAGTCAGTGAGTGTTCTGATAGTTCTGTGTGGGATCTAAAAGAGTGAAGTATTATGTCTTAAAAAGTGAGACTCTAAAGATCTGGAAGGAAGTTAAAATTACCAAGAGCTTAGCCTGTGTGGCTGCCTATGTGGGAGATTCCTGTCAGAGTGGGATCTTAATGTCAAAAGGACAGTGTGTGTGATACATTTGACAGACATATTTACAAGTCCCTTATTCCCAAACAGTTACAGAATAACCAACCTCATATTTTGTTCTTATTTTAATAAATCATCTTTTGTTCAAGTTTATCCCAGAATTCAGCTCTGTCTTTCCTCAGGATCACATAGATCCCTGAAAAGCCCAGACTCTGGGTCACATTACCAACAGCAAAGGAGAGAAGGTTTGGAAGTCCTTAAATTCCTGGTGGCAGCAGAAAATACCCAGTTTACAAAAGCAAAGAACACATATAAAGTGAAAACCAGTCCTCCCAAAAAAGAGGACGCCACAGAGCATCTGAACACTTGAAGTTTCCCCAAGTTCGTTACCCTTCACAGGGAACTCTGGCCTTCGGGAGATTTAGGGAGGGGGGGGACGCTAAATTTCCCTCCCCCTGCAAATCTAGAGAGCCAAGTCAACATCCACACCAGAGTAAGGGCGTCAACTGGTCTCTGCCATGTTGGCAATTTGAGAGGGATGTGAAAAAAAACAGCAATCCTAGAATGCCAATCATTTTGCCACAGTAAAAAGGTTAAAAGTAGCACAAAGCAGTTCTGCTGCAGCGTCAAAACAAATGCCAAATTTGGAAATTCTCTCCATCAGGAATTGTTCATGATGTTTTATTCTGACGACTGCAGTTAAGCAGGTGCTGGTGTTGACCTTTCAAGTCTGGGACCTGCATACCTTCAGGACCGCCTTCTCCCATTAGACTCTGCCCACCCACTCTGGCCATCTGTGGAGGCCCTGCTTCAGGTGCTCCTGCCGTCTCAGCTTAGGCACGTCGCAACCCAAGAAAGGGCCTTCTTGGTTGTGGCACCAACATTATGGAATTCCCTCCCCAGGGAGATTAATCTGTCCTGTCCCCCCCATCACTTTCTTCCACGGGCAAGTGACATTCCCTTCCTGACCCTTCTTGTTGGTATTAACAGCTGATTTTATATACATGCACTGTTTTTAAAGTTGATTTTTAAGGCCTTTTTAATTGTTTGCCCCCTTATGCGTCCTAACGGGGCAGAAAGGCAGGATTACAAACGGTTTAACAACATAAAAATAAAACATTCAGCATATTAGAAGCTGTCACAAAGCCGGTACCGATGACTTCTGCACATGCCCATTATTCACTAAACATGGAAGTAATGTGCTCAGTTAGGATCGTCCATCTAGAGTCAAAGCAACAAGAGTGCAGCATCCAGAATTTGTTGCACTTTGCACATCACTATGTTTATGGCGCCCCCCGGAGGTTCTAGCACAACGCTGCATAAGGGCACCGCATGCTATAGAGTCCATAGACAAAGGGAACTAGATGGAAACAACTCAAAAAGAACTCCAAATTACATACTTTCAACAGAAGCTTGCAGATCTCGTATTTTCCCTTTGCCGCTGCTTCATGCAGAGGTGTAAACTTCCACAGGTCGGCAACGTTGACGGAAGCCCCGTGTCTCACCAACAGCTCTGCCACTTCATAGTGTCCGTACGAACAGGCGTTATGTAGTGGAACTAAGCCACTAAACGAAACAGAGGAATGTGTCAATGATATTGTTCCTATCTAAACAATGTAAAAACTGTAGCTGTCTTTCAGGATAATCAGCATTCTTCTCTTTCCAAAGAGATGTGACTACGCTAAAGAGGACAGAACTCCATTAGCACCATGTTGTAACAAGTGCTCTACAAGGAGTCACGACCAGAAGTAGTATCCATCTGCAGTTGAGCGTCGCATTATTATTATTATGGCGACAACAGCAAAAACGAGGCGTATTTTCCTGTCCCAACACATCTGTTCTGTGTTCTCCGACTGAGCTGTTCTGAGCAATAAAGGGAGTCATAAAGCCTAAAACTAGCCCATTGGAGATATTTAGGGGACCCTTGCACAACAATTCATACCTCGCAGCTAATCAGACGCAGCAATCAGGAGTTCACCAGTCTCTATTACCATACATCTTAACAGGACACATGGATAGGTAATATCCTTCACAACTGATGCTACCGAGTGCATTTCATACTCTGATATCTCTAAGTATGCAGTGATGCATGAAAAGCCACACACATTAGCAAGACATTTTGTGGAGAAAGTCTCTGGTGTGCATCCCCAGAAGTGGAAAACTGGGTCTGAACTGTGCCGCTTCATATTTGGGGGTGGGGGGGTTACACGATTAAATATTTCTCCATTAAAAAAAACACACATATGGAAAGTTGGCTATCAATTTAGGCTTCTCCAAGACATGCTAGAATTGTACTTGGAGGGAGTTTTCTGCAGGGAGGAGCACGTGATCATGTAACCCTTCTCCCCACACACACTGCTCTCTGAAGAGATACAGTGCAGACGGGAAGATTGCTCTGTGAAAATGACGCCTTAGATACCGCTGCCAGGATGGAGTGCAAGCCAGAGATGTCTTTAACCATCTCTTTTCTTCTTGAGTTACTTTCTGTTCTTCACAAGATATGATAATGGGAGTTTAGTGAATGGACCTCCCTTTGTTTTTCAGATTGCAAACAGAAGCCTTGGATTAGACCAATGGGGTGAGGGTTGAAAGGTTAACCCTCCCATTCGTGTGGGTGTCTCCACCCCCAAATCGGCATTTTCCCCAGGTGACCATATGACTTCTACAGTATTTTCAAATGCAAGAACAGGTTATCTCACAGATATGCCATATAAAAAAGAGGGGGTCATCTTACTTTCCCGTATAAGTTAGTTATGTCCAATAATGTTTCGGGGTGTCTTTTTAAGGAGATCAACATACATTCAGGGTACTCTTCCTTTTGAGTAAAGCCCCATTTTTCCATAGGGGCAAAGTGCAGGCGGGGAGAAAAAAGCATTAAAAATTGCCCACAAAAAAAGGGGACGGTTAAGCCTCTCTCCCCCATAGCACGGCCCCTACAAAGACCTGTAATCTCCACATCTGTGATTTGCCGCTCAATACACCATCCATGGATCTGCCACCATCCTACGTCAGTGAAGAAGACCTTCGTTCTCTTTCATCCGATGCTGACGGGCTGCTCTGCATGGAAACGCCTTTGCTGGACCCCTGCTTATCCTAGCTGGTGAAGGCGACCCAAGGGCAGCTCAGGCTTCCTTTGCACGGAAGAGTTGACGCCTCAATGCGGGAGTGAGTATGACCAACCTCTTCGAAGGAGGCGGCTGAGACTGCTCTGAGTGGCCCTGGCATCCTCTCCTTTGCCTGGAAACCACACCCTCCTTTGCCACTGGGTGGGGCTCCCTTCCCACCATTCTTTGTTGCAGTGGCCTTCTGTTCTGCTCTTGAGCCACTTAAAAAAAAAAGCTGCCAGGAATATGAAGCAGTGCCACCATCACCTGAAGTACCTATGGGGGGGGGGGCCTGACAGCATGGGATCTGTGTTGAGAAGTTCCACTGACTGGACTCTTATTTTATCCCCGTTGCTATTCATGTTTACATTAATTCACTGGGAGAAAACTGTCCAGAGGTCTGGAGCCAAAGGTGATGACCCCCCCACACACACTTCCTTTTCCCAACACAGCCGGGGGTACAGGCCTTGTCCAAAAATAGCATCTGGCAGTACTGCTTAACTAGACATGGACGAACGAGCTGAAATCCCAGAGTCTGCCTTGCCTGCCTGCAAGAAGGAAGTTTCCGCCGTACAGCAGAGGGGCAAAATACAGCGACTGGACATTGCAACATTTAACGAGCTGGGGATAAAGCTGCCAACTTCCAGGTGGCACCTGGAGAGCTCCCACTATTACAACTGATCTCCAGGCAACAGCGATCAATTCCCGCCGCCCCGCCCCCGGAGAAAATGGCCGCTTTGGAGGGCGGGCAGGATGGCATTGTGCCTTGCTGTGGTCCCTGCCCAACCTCTGCCCTCCCCAGGCCCCACCCCCAAAATCCCCAGTCCAGAGCTGGCAGCCCTATCTGGAGAAGCAGGAAACCCTTCCAACCACCCCGCCCAAAAGGTAATCCAGAGAAACCGAGTCACCCTTTATCCTTCGCGTGCACGTCCGCTCCGTGGTGCAGCAAGTACTCCACGACCGATACCCGGTTATAACCCGCAGCAAAGTGCAGAGGGGTTGAGTGGCGGCCCTCCAGGTCTCTGCAGTTCACATTTTGGGGGCTGCAAAGTTGCTGTGAAGGGGGGGGGAAATGCATAAGCAAAAAGCAGTGGGATTCATGTCTGAGAAGATCTCCCCCATTTTCAAGCCGTCACCTCCCACTCCAAGCGTAAAAAGGAGAGGGGAGCTGGTGAAAGTGACCCAAGGGTAGCTCAGGCTTTCTTGGCACGGGAGGGTGCAAAGGAATAATAAGATAAAGATTCAATAAAATAAGATTTAATAAAATCAATATCATAAAATTAGTAGTTTTCACTATGCTACAAGAGCAAATAAGTCACGGTAATCGAAAGGCAACATGATGGCTTAAAGCAAATGCAATGTTTCTTGGGGAGAGTGATGTGCCTCTGGGCCCCCTCCCTCCCACCGAACTCTCACTGCTTTTGACAGCATTTGATTCACTGCCCCCTAGATGGCTATACTACCCCCTCCCGAAATACTACCATTACGGATGTGGGCTATAAATACAGAACAGCAGAGCTGGGAACGCCTCCCTGGGCAGGCTTTCTAAATAGCTCTGCACCACATCTCCCCCTTCCCCCCACTCAAACCTTGCCTGCACTCACACACTGGCCAAGAGGGGCGTACTGTGCTACAGTTATAGTCCCTTTCCTTCACCCTCTGAATGCTTCCGTGCAAATGCTGGAGGCTCACTCAACTACACATGCATGGCTGCTGGGTTCTGAGACCCAGTGAGAATTAACGTTATCAGCAATCACCAACTCTAGGAGCCGAGGATGTGTCATTGCACTCCTTCGCAGCACTGAAATTCACACCTGTTGTCAAGCATCTCCTCAAACCGGGCTTGGCCTGACCACAATATTGGCGTAGTCCTCCCCCTCCCCCAAGCAGGTGGTTTAAAGAGACAGCAGCAGGGCCATCTGAGGGCTGGGTTGAAGTCTTCTGCCTTCTTGTCAACCCCCCCCCCCATAACTAGCAGCAGTCTGATGCTCTCACAAATCCACCCGATTTTTAAAAATTAATTATTCTGCTTTAATCTGGTTTACAGTATTGTAAGATATCTTGGTTGCCACTAGTGGCAGAAAGGCAAGATATAAACACACTAGATCAATACAGACCACTGCCTTCCAGCCCTCCCTTCCACATGGACACATCCACCAGCTATTAACTGTACGCTTATTCACACCCACCCTACAGCACTGAATGTATTATGACGTTCCTTGGCAAGTGAAAGACTAGTCTGGATCCCTTGCGGAACCCTTCTGTCCGGAGCCGAAGGCCACACAGAGCCAAGGGTGGAGAGTCAAAGCAAGCCACTCCCAACGCTGTAACTGCACTTATCAGTCGAGTCCCTCTGATTCCAAAACTAGTCCACTATCCCAGCTGGCACCTTGTTTGACCGCAGAAGGCATTCAAAGGGGGATTAATGAACGTACATGAACAGTGCATGCTGGTTCTGGATATGCTGGAACAGTTTAGGAGAATATCGGGTGGCTTCTACTTTTCTAGGCAGACCACACAGGCAACGTCGCCACAAAGCAGCTGTTGCCTGCACCTACTTACCTTCACAGTTTCCAAGTCTCCAGCTTTCGATGCCTCCAAGAGTCGATAATCCACATCTGAGGTGTGCACGGGGGTGCTCTCTGCATGACAGAGGAGAGAACAATAAGTCTCCCAAGAGTTATGGACACTGTAAGCAGTGTTCCCTCTAAGCTGAGTTAGTGTGAGCTAGCTCACGGTTTTTTACTCCCCGGCTCACAGATTTTTGCCTTTGCTCAGGAAGGATGGGGCTCCAGAGCAAGCTAATTTATGCAGCAGCCAAATCGCTCACTCACAGCTTTAATGCCAGTCGCTCACAACGTAGAATTTTTGCTCACAAGACTCCACAGCTCAGAGGGAACTACAGTCTTCAGTAATTACCCGGAACGTAAACGCAAGCCTTAAGTGCTGTTTATCATGTATTTACATACACATGTATGTCTGGGCTGCAAATGTCAATACCAAATGCTTCTGAAAGGTTAGTTTAATTCCCAAACCTCAGTGCACTCATCTCAATCTCTCTCTATATATATATCTATATATCTCTACCTTGTGAGCCAGTCTGGTGTAGAGGTTAGAGTGTCCAACTAGGATCTGGAAGACCCAGGTTCAAATCCCCACTTTGCCACGGTATCTTGTGAGGTGACCTTGGGCACACCCTCTCAGCCTAACCCACCTCACAGAGGTTGTTGTGAGGATAAAATGGAGGAAAGGAGAATCACAGCAGCTGCTTCGGGTCCCCATCAAGGACAAAGGTGTGGTATAAGCAAAGTAACTCAATACATAAATATGAGGAAAAGTCCGCCCCCCCCCCAGCAGCAGTGGTATGTCGTGAATTCAGGTAACTGATCATTCCTCATACTTTTACATATTTTAAATTTATACCCCACTCTCATACTGGCTCACAAATGCCTCCCTTTCAGAGTCTCCCTATGTAGCTTTAATGGCAGCTGCTGCATCAGACGACTCCTGTACCATTCCCTGGGCTCAGCCGACATCGTATCCTGACTTACCAGCTATATTAATTTCCATTAACTACAGTAAGGCTTCCTGTTTCTGACAGAATGTATGGTCAGACAAGCAACAGAGCAATGCCCTTGTGCATCAGACTGGGGAAACGGCAGGCAGGGGGCAAACAGGCGGGCACTTTCTGTCAGCATCATTAAAAGTTTCACTGTTTGAGAGAAAGGCCAGGAAGAGAGGCAAAAGTGCTGCGGTGCCGAGTGGCAGAGACGGCGGCACACAGAGGGTCTATTTTCTGTTCCGTGGCCCAGCCTCTTCCCTTCTGTCCCAAGCTGCCTCACGCTAATGGAAGGGCAGGGATTCTTTGTTTCGTTTAGCTCACTCGTTAAGTCAGTGTGGAAATCTACGACTGGAGCACCGAGACTGCTTTAACACAGGTGAAGAAGGGGACTGAGTATAATTTATACTTACTCAACAGAAAACAGAAGAGTATCATTTAAAAAAAAATTCAACATTTCACGGTTAATGGAAAATCTGGTGAACTCGGTTTCTAAAGCCATGTCAAGACCAGGTGGTAAGAGCTGCAAAGTCTGGGTCACCAGGAGGCTTGGTGTTTGTGAGCTCACAGCTGCAGCCCTAAAGGGTGACCGGGTAGCTGCTCAAGCAGTTCAACACACCTACAGGTGCGCCGGTAAACCACCTACAGAAGAGCTAGCCAGCCAATGGTGTTTCCGTCTTTCAGAACCAAAATTAACACACTCCTTCCAGCTCTGCCAGATCTCATACCAGGAGATGCTTTGGAGGGGGGGTGGGGACTGCAACAGAAAAGCAACAGAACCCCTGTGCCCCCTTGGACATCTAGCTCCAACAGCACTTCTCTGAACCCCACCCATCAAGTGTGAAAATGAAGCATCAAGGAAATTTAAAGGACATGAAACAAAGAAGTGAAAAACTGAGAAAACCCTGCCAGCCAACCGCACCATCGCTGACAACTGAGGCACAAGGCAGGAAAACATTTATCTACAGTCAGTCCCATAAACTATTATCCCCATACCTAGAAAGGTTCACACACAAAAGAACCCTCATTTTGATAATACATTGTCTTCCTTATCTCTCACTGCAAAACACCAATGTAGCAGGTTTTTAGGAGAATTCAGAATCCACCCCCCCCCCAAGTTTCCATCTCTCTCACTTTGGTTAGGCAGATATTCTCAGTTTCTGTAAAACGTTTCTGCTGGACTGACTGCCTTGTGTTGCAACACAGAAGGAAGGCTTAGGGGCAAAACCCCGAGCAGAATGTGCTCCCTCTTGCATTTCCTTGCTTTCTAGCTCTCAAAATCGCTCCAGTCTTATGCCTGGTTAGGCCAGGTGATTTGTACTTCTAGGGACCCTGCAGATTTTTGAATGTTAAAGTTAGGTACTCGACATATTCGCCCCAGTGGCTTACCATAGCTTACAGACTTCAATTTGACACCTGACCGGGGCAAGAAGGTACAAGTAGAGGATGAAACAGAAATTCGATAAAGAGCAAAGATGCCAGGGTGGGTGGGTGGGTCAGTGTAAGAGCAGAAGAATTGATAGAATTAGAGGAATTGATAGAATTACACAATGAAAAACATTCAGAGCATTGAACAGACACGGTTTGCCTTTTGTGGTCATTTTCATGGTTTTCAAAAAGTCCCTTCTGTGTTGATTTTCAACACCTGTGGCAAACACTGATGATGCTGCAGTGCTGCTTTTCTCAGCGCCATTTTCATCCTTCTTTATCTCGTGAACACATTAAATTGCCTTATACTAGCCCTGACCTGGGTAGCACAGGCAAGCCTGGTCTCGTAAGGTCTCAGAAGCTAAGCAGGGTCGACTCTGGCAAGTCCTTGGATGGGAGACCTCCTTGATACCAGAGGCAGGAGGTGGGGGCAGGCTTTACTCAGCCACCTTTGAGGGGGTGAACAAACATGTGGACAAGGGGGATCCAATAGATATTGTTTACCTTGACTTCCAGAAAGCTTTTGATAAAGTTCCTCATCAAAGGCTCCTAAGTAAGCTCAAAAATCATGGGATAGAAGGACAAGTCCTTCTATGGATCAAAAACTGGCTAATTAATAGAAAACAGAGAGTGAGTATAAATGGGCAATTTTCTCAGTGGAGGGTGGTAAGCAGTGGGGTACCGCAGGGATCAGTACTTGGTCCACTGCTTTTTAACTTGTTCATTAATGATTTGGAGATGGGAGTAAGCAGTGAAGTGGCTAAATTTGCAGATGATACGAAGTTGTTCAGGGTGGTGAAAACCAGTGAGGATTGTGAGGCACTCCAAAGGGATCTGTCAAAGATGGGCGAGTGGGCGTCAACATGGCAAATGGGGTTCAATGTGGCCAAGTGCAAGGTGATGCACATTGGAGCCAAAAATCCTAAATATAAATACACATTGATGGGGTCTGAACTGGCAGAGACTGAGCAAGAGAGAGATCTTGGAGTTGTAGTGGATAACTCACTGAAAATGTCGAGACAGTGTGTGACTGCAATAAAGAAGGCCAATGCTATGCTGGGGATTATTAGGAAGGGTATTGAAAACAGATCAGCCAATATAATAATGCCCCTATATAAATCAATGGTGAGACCTCATTTGGAATACTGTGTGCAGTTCTGGTCACCACACCTTAAAAAGGATATTATAGCTTTGGAAAAAGTGCAGAAAAGGGCAACTCGAATGATAAAAGGGTTGGAACACTTTCCCTATGAGGAAAGGTTAAAGCGCTTAGGGCTCTTTAGCTTGGAGAAACGACGACTGAGGGGAGACATGATTGAGGTTTATAAGATTATGCATGGGATAGAGCAGGTAGAGAAAGAGGTAGTTTTCTCCCTTTCTCACAATACAAGAACTCGTGGGCACACAATGAAATTGCCGAGTGGTCGGGTTAGAACGGATAAAAGGAAGTACTTCTTCAGCCAAATAGTGATTAACACATGGAATTCACTGCCACAGGAGGTGGTGGCGGCTACAAGCATGGACGGCTTCAAAAGGGAATTAGATAGGCATGTGGAGCAGAGGTCCATCAGTGGCTATTAGCCACAAGGTATAGATATGGGCTCTGGGGCAAGTGATGCTCTGTCTTCTTGGTGCTTGGGAGGGGTCAACAGTGGGAGGGCTTCTAATGTCCTGGCCCCACTGGTGGACCTCCTGATGGCACCTGGTATTTTTGGCCACTGTGTGACAGAGTGTTGGCCTGATCCAACATTGGCGTCTCTTATGTTCTTATGTTCTCTCTGAATATCCTCCAGGCCCCCAGTAGGGGTCAGTCACCAGAGGTCACCATGACCCAGTAGGGGCCCATCACATCACCTATTCCCTGATCTACAGGGAAAATCCACCAGAGGGGCCATGGCTCAGTGGAAGAGCCCCTGCTTTGCATGCAGAAGGCCTCAGGTTCAATCCCGGCCTCTCCAGTTACAAGGACCAAGCCGTGTGTTGCTGTGAAGGACCCCTGCCTGAAACCCTGGACAGTCACTCACAGTATGAGCAGACAATACTGCCTTGATAGACTGACGGTCTGATTCAGTCTCAGGGAGCTTCATGCACACGGTTATGCCCCTGGAACCATCTGTGTGCCAGGAGGATGCTCTGCCACGGAGCCATGGCCTCCTACCTCTGCTGCCCGCAACCCAGTTTTACCTAATACGATACCCACCGTTGAGTATCTGCTGCACAGCTTCGTTGCCCATCTGTGCCGCCGTGAAGCCTTGCAGGGAGATGATGGAAGGGTCAGAACCGTAGCTCAGCAAGAGGCGACAGGTCTGCAGGTGCCCTGCCATGGCGGCCCTGTGCAAAGCCGTTTGGCCCAGGGTGTCCAGTGCATTCATCTGGCGGAAGGAAGAGAGAGAAGATTCAGGAATATGCAGAGCAAGTAGGCCGTCCTGCGTGGCAAAGCTACTGAGCCCTGTCTCTTCTGTGCAGGGGGGGGAGGGGGGGTCGAGGAAAAGGAGGCTCTGCAGCGCCATAATTTAATTACGCCTCCTACTGTGCTGAGGCATTAACACCGCAGGATAATACAGGACCAATTAAAACCTTCCACTTATTATTTTAGGGGATTTCATGTGAAGGAGGTGATGGGTTTATGGTGGGTTAAAAAAAAACCCCTTCATTTCACAGTTATATACATGCTTGGAAACGCGAATGGAAGATTAATCATACTTAAAACGCCAGTCTCTGGCAAACAGAAATAGACGTATATGAGCAAATCCCTATTAGACATAAGGGGAACCAGTCAGGGGTAAATAATTACCTGAAGACCACTTAGAAGAAAATTGCCATTAGCTATCCTCAAAGGGTGACAAAAACTCTTAAGTAACCAATCGATAGATATTTTGAAAAAAATTATGGGGGGGAAAGGTTAAATCGAGGAGCAAGCTCACTGAGAGCAGATGTTCACAAGAAAGCTAATTACGGTTTTCCCAAATTCCGTCTACTGCCTCATTATTTATCCTGCAATCTCCCACCCCCTCGTGAAAATGTAATACTCAAGCAGCAGTGAAACGATGTTCAACAATATATAAGGAGGCCAGAAAGCACGGGAGCACAGCGTGCAGTGCAAACAGATCTTTCCAAAAGGCAGTATGAGGCACTTTTATGCAACGGAAATGCAGCAGAAGCCAAGCTGAACACTGGGACTCTCTGTGTTCCCTAAGGAAAAGCGCTCTCTCTCTCAGCGAGAGGGAGAGAATAAAGTAGGCAACTGCAGCATTACATTTTCTAGCTATTAAAATCAGTCATCTCTAAGTTACAGATGAATTGCAATTTGTTTTGCCAGTCTATGAAATATAACACTTTTCTGGATAGGGAGGCAATGACGAATAGCCATCCCCACCGCCCCCAGGAGTGAAATCACAAATACATGTTTAGAATATCGCCACAGGGACTAAAAAGTTATTGTGGATCTGGGGGAGGGGGAATGGGGGGGGAAGGGAACTTGTTAAGTAAGACGGGCATCTTGCACGACAAGCAGTCGGTCGGGGCTTTAAATGAGAGCTGCAGATCAGCAACAACAGCACAGCCTCCTACTCAAAACCCAAGCCAACGCAGTTCAGTAAATCAGGAATACACAGGTGCCTGTGTAAAAGGGCAATATTTTACAGAAGACTCCCAGCATGGAGAACAATGCGCCATTAAGCAAGATCACTATGCCTTTCAATTGCAAATCATGTGCATTTAAATCAGTTTCTATTAGGCGAAGATCGATCTCTCTTGCTATGACTGAGTAGGGGGAGGAATGGGAAAGGGAAAAGGTGTTTTTCTTCTTCTGCCTTCAAGAACCCTTATGCACTCTCTGTTATAGAAAGGCCTCCGGTCCAGGACTGGCAGCCAATCCCAAGCCTTCCTAATCAGTGGGAGGGGTGTGTGCAGGGCTCAATGGCATACCACTGAAGGGCATTTGGGGTAGCCACCCTCTAACTCAAATGTTCTACTGCTATACAGCAGAAGGTGGAAGAGATTTTTACCTCCTCCCCCCTCCCCCCCCTTTTCAAAGTGTCCGGTCTAAAGAGGACTACCAAATAGTCATTCTGGAACCCTTACAAAGCTATTCGCAGGCGGGGGATGCGCTGCAACATTTCATTACGGGCCCTCTCCCGCTCTAAACTGTGAGCAGAAGACTCTGAGTTAAAGCAACAAACTATCGTACTCAGTAAGGAATGTTATCCGACAGGCCACGGTGTTTCTCTAACAATCGGTATGCCTGGTGCTCACTTGAAGCTACCCCAGTCAAATGGACTGGGGTTATGCAAAAACAGTTCTGAATTTCCCTGCAGAACAGATTTCTGTCAGCTTTAACAGTGACAGAGTTATCAGCTCCGGAGAGGCATCAGATGTGACCACTGCGTGTTTTGCATGCTTCCTTCCTAGCCCGCTTGAAGCAGCTCATTTTAAAACCATCTTGTCAAATATTCTCCATTATTGTTCTATTTTTCTACATTCCTAGCCTTTCCCTTTTTAAAGAAAGCACACTGGTGAAAATCGAATGGGTGTATACTGTTGTTCAGTGTGCACATTTTTAAATTCAGCACTCTCTACTGCTTGTTGTGCAGTACGGCAAGACTCAGTGCTTTCTAAATTATTCCTTGTGTTCCATCAGTCATCTGCAACAGCTCAGCACCCGATGAACATTTTGGAAGGGGCCCATATTATTCTGTTCTGCCGAATATTATTCTGTTCTGGCAGTTCTGTACCTCTAGGAAGTAGATGAAAGAAGGGTACAAGATACATCAAGAAAGAAAAGTAGAAAATACAACAGGGAAAGGCTATGGCTCAGTGGTAGAGCATCTGTTTGGCATGCAGAAGGCCACAGGTTCAATCCCCAGCATCTCCAGTTAAAGAATCTGGCCATAAGTGATGTGGAAAACCCCTGTCCGAGACCCACTGCCAGTCTGAGTAGGCAATACTGACTTCTATGGACCGGAGGGAGAGGCGCCTAGTCCAACCCCCTGCTTAATACAGGATCAGCCTAGAGCATCCCTGACAAGGGTTTGTCCAGCCACTGCTTAAAGACTGCCAGTGTTCTGTTGCTTTCTAAACATTTACTTGCTGACACTAGGACCTGCTATGTATTTTTTTTGCATCATTTAATGTGTTATATTAATACTTCTGCTTTGCTTCAGTTCTGTTTCTAGACTTCTAGTTGGCTCTACAATTGTAATTCCTATGGCA